TGTGAATGGTTAAAAAGTCCTATCACATTTACATTGTTACACTGTGGACTGGAAAGATTTCCAACACTTATTAACTTTCACTAAAAACTTCTGAGAGCAGCATATGGCCTAACTATTAAATATGAGTAGCCTAAACATGATAGACGTGCCAATATCAGTAGCCTAAACATGATAGGCATGCCAATATGAATAGCCTAAACATGATAGGCGTGCCACATACTGTACCAAGTAAGTAAAAAGTGGTGGTCACATCTGTTCCTGATTTAAAGAAAAACCGAAACTCTTGAAATGATTCTAAACAAGTATTAACGAAAATTTTGTATTTATGGGTACCTTTCTACACTAGTCTGCAGATAATTCTGACAAAGTCCTCTGGTACGCTTGGTGCTGACTCTTTTTCCACCGGATGCCTGTTCGCTGAGATTCCTCAACTGTTTACAAGAAATTGCTTCTGCTAAGCTAATGAAAACACTTGGTATATGCTTTACTTTAAAGATACAGTAACATTAAAATTCTTTAATCTAAGTATTAAGTTTCCCTTTATAACCTTTTATCCTTTTTATTTGGAGCCTTGCTTATTAATAACATTAACACGTGAAATGTGTTACAAGACTTTCTTGTATTAAGATGAATTCCTCGTTTCTCCATATCTCTAGAAATATAATACAACAGGTACAATTGTTAAAAAAAATAGGTACATCTTTTTATTACAGCTTAATATTTCCACTGCTCAGGCCAGGCCAAAAACAAAATAATTACTCTATGCATAATAGATATAATTACTATATACCAAATGCACCAGCACTCAAAAAAATCAAAGAAATTCGTAATTCCAACTAAAGACTGTAGACATCGATGAGCAACCCTTTTCTGTGACATGTACATGTCCTTAACCATTTTCTGTTAACATGTTCACTCTGAGTTGTAGAATTCCTATGACTATTAAACTATAATCAATAATGATATGTTCAAAATATTTCATATTGAAACGAGGCATGTATTATATTGTAGAACCGTTTGGCATAATACTACTTTAGTTCCAGCCTATACTTCCATAGTGTCAATTCCTAAGCCTAAATATGTGATTCTTGCAGAAGCACCAGTTTTATCTTCAGGTCGTGAAACACCAATCTTAAAGGTAAGACTTTTGAAATTTTCATACACTGAATGCAGTCTGAGGTCCCCTTTGCCCAGCAAAAAAAAACGTCATAGATCTACGTATTTATTTGAAGTATCTAAACCTGTTTGAAATTTTGTTAGTCAATGAATTAATGTTGTATATGTTTCGTATATCTTACAGCTCATTGGTATAAATACTTGTCTAATATTGTGTAATAAAATACACGTATATAATATTATGTAATAAAGACCATCTGTTGAAACCTTACAAATCAAAATCCTCAGGATATCTCTATAAGCATGTTAACATCAAATAGTACATGTAAAAAGATTCCCTTTTCCTAAAATAAGAAATGAAAAATTCCTACTATAGCTATAGATTGTTGAAAGCCCTGTAATTTCAATTTATTTTCCAATAGTTTGCCTCGGCTAAACAATTCACCATATTCAAATGTGCTTTTGCGTTCCGAATCGGAAGACCTAAAGCTCCCAGTCTTGACAAATGGTGATGTAGCAGGTGTGTATTGTGTGTATCACACCTTCAAATTGAACTGCATGTTAAATAAAAATCCTCTTCTCGCCAATATTTTTAGCTCACCTGAGTGAGCTTTTCTGATCACCTTTTGTCCGGCGTCCGTCCGTCCGTCTGTAAACTTTTCACACTTTCAACTTCTTCTCAAGAACCACTAAATCAATTTTAACCAAATTAAGTACAAAGCATACCTGGGTGAAGGGTAGTTTAAATTGTTGAAATGAAGGGCCAAGTCCACTTATAAGGGGAGATAATCAAGAAAAGACAAAAATAGGGTGTGGTCATTAAAAATCTTTTTCTCATGAACCTCTTAGCCAGAAAAGCAGAAACTTTTGTGGAAGCTTTTTGAGGTAGTGTAAATTCTAAATTGTTCAAATCATGGCCCCCTGGGGGTAGGGGGGGGGCACAATAGGGAATCAAATTTTTACACTGAAATACCGGTAAATAGGAAAAATCTTTAAAAATCTTCTTAATAACCACTGGGGCAGAAAAGCTGAAACTTATATGGAAGCATCCTCGGGTAGTATAAATTTTAAATTTTTCGAATCATGGCTCTCAGGGGTAGAGTGGGGCCACAATGGGGAATAAAATTCGCATTTAAATATATAGGAAAAATCTTTTTAAAAAATCTTCTCGAACCACTGGGCCAGAAAAGCTGAAACTTATATAGAAGCATCCTGGGTAGTGTAGATTCAAAATTGTTGAAATCATGACTCCCGGGGGAGGGTGGAGCCACAATGGGGAATCAAAGTTTTACATTGAAATATAATGGAAAGATCTTTTAAAATCTTCTTCACCAGAACCACTGGGCCAGAAAATTTTAAACATATGTGGAAGCATCTTGGGGTAGTGTAGATTCTAAATTGTTTGAATCATGACCCCTGGGCGTAGGGTGTTGTCTCAACATCATGAAAAAATATATATATAAATCTTCTTCTCAAGAACCACTGGGCCAGAAAACTGAAACTTATGTGGAAGCTTCCTGGGGTAGTGTAGATTCTAAATTGTTCAAATCATGACCCCCAAGTATTTGATGGGGCATAAGTATTACAAGGGGGAAAATCTGGTGAAAAACAGCAGGACCAAAGTTACTAAGGTGAGCGTTGTGGCCCATGGATCTCTTGTTATTTTTCGTACAATGAAAACATTACACTGTATACATGTAATTGTGAAAATATTGAGTTTATCTCTTCCATTTTCAACATAAAGTACCAGTCATTTATAGCCCCCAGGAAAAAATGTTCATAAACAACGAATTATTGATGATCAGAAAGTTTAGAATGTTAGTGGGAATCAAGTGCAATTACGGTTTAATTTATCTATGCTGGGATATAAAAATGTGAAGAATGCTTGAATTTAATATTTTAAAAAAGTCCTACAAATGTTATATTTAAGCTCGTTTTATTTTAAATCTAGAGGCAAATCACTTTTACTGCATTTATTTTATAGAGTGTTCTAATAAACTGTTTTATACATGTTCATGTAGCATCATTAAAGATGTAAATAAATCTAAGATTGGTCACTTTTTTGGCTACTAGTATAATAGTTCATGCACTTTGCGTGCAAAGAAAAAATTCAATTCAATTCACTTTATTGACAAGTACCATGTTGACATACAGACCTGTACATTAATAACATAAAATTTAACACAGATTAATATATACAGGGTGACAAACATGAGGTAAACAAAATTCAAAATACTGTAGAATATAATCATTGAGGAGTTTCTTTCTGATGTCAAGCTATAGCATGCCTTTCTGGCAGTTGTAGTGTTTGTAAGATTAACATTTTTTTTCTAATGGAAAAATCTAGCGTAATTGACTCAGAGTAATTAGGAGCTTCGAAGCCATTCTGATGGATATATCACAGAGCAAAATTAACATTTTTGAAATAAATAATGCTTTTAATATATTATACTAAATATTATACTAAATTTGGACGTTTATCTGTTAAATTCTCTATCTATTATCATTGTATGTCTATTATTTAGTTGATTGAATCTCATTCTCTTTGAAACAGGATTAAGACATTCCAATTGACTTTGACTGTCAAAAGAATTGATACTCGTTAGGTCTAAATGCCTCAGGACCTGTTAGTCTAATATCAATAACTTTGTTTATATATTTATTTAGCAATGTCTTTTATGTCCATTCCATCAAAGAAAAACACACCTGTCTATCAATTAACTCAGCTAGTGTCATATATGTTTAAAACATATGTTGAATATATGTTTGAAATATATGTTGAACATATAGCAGACTCAAAACATATGTTGAACATATGTTTGTGGTAACTATATGTTTAATATATGTTGAACATATTTTAAACATATGGTTGTTTCAAACATATGTTCAACATAATTATGTTTTAGTTTCACATAAAATTCATACTGAAGATCATATAATAACCAATCGCCTTTTCACATTTATTTCATTTAATATTAAATTAATGTTATCGTTATTTGAATTAATTTTATTTAAATTTAACGACATAAAAAAATATGTTAATTAATTTAATGTTAATCAGTGAACTGGCAATAATTTAATATGAAAAACTCGAGTTAAATGTTATATTTTAACATGTCAGGGGCAGATCCAGCAAATTTTGAAAAGGGGGGGGGTCCAGGTCGGTGCCCCTAACACACATGCATAGAATCGCACCATAGGCACTTCAAGCCCAAACCAACCTCCGGACCCCCCCCCCCCCCCCCCGGTGGATCCGCCAATGCAAATAGACTGCATGTTAAAAAATTAATTTCAATAATAAGTATCAAGATCAATTTGAATACATTTATTCAAAAGAATGGTCATTTCTTGTAGAAGCTTACATAAAAAGGGGAAGGGATTAACTGCTCTGTTACCCTGCACCCCCTCCCCCACTCGTTTCTCCAAATTCAGCCCCCTCTTTTCTTCAAATTCAAAATTGTCTTCTTGAACATGGTATTCCCCAAATCAAGTTTATCAAGAATTAATAAATTTGTATTTACCCCGTTTTGTTTGGGGTTTTTTTTTTATGAAATTAAAATCATTCCACATTTTATTTCCGGACCGGTTTTGGTTTTTATCGGATGAAAGTGTACTACGTCATTTTTGACGTCACTGCTGCAGGAGAAGTGTTGGGTGTTAGAAACAAGTAAGTGCTATCAGTTATGTTTTTTAAAGAATTTAATTAGTTTTTGGTGTTTTAAGAGAATTTCTTTACGGTTATAGATTCATACGAACTCCTAGTACTCTCGTGACTTGCATAACATCTAACTGTAGTTGTAATTAATGCAGTTCGTAAAAAACGACACATCAAGTGATCTTATCTAGGCCTACATGCTACATTATTTTGGATTTGTTTTCGACGAATGTAAAAACTATTTAGCATTGCTAATTTTTTCAGATTTGTTTTCCTTTTGTCGACAGTTACGTTTGCATATTTATGTACGATCTTGATGAAAGTGAAAGTAGAAATCTTGCATTGCAGTTTGTGTGTAGCCTATGTTAGATGGTTATCCACTCGGCTCTTTTATCAAATTTTTAATGGAAAATGTTTGTTTTTATTATGTATTAAGCAACTGGAGTTCAGTGTCTGAGTGCCGTTTTTATTGAAAGAACCCCAAGCTGTTAAGACTGACGATTCAACCCAAAGCTGATTTGACTGAAGATTGCACGATCACAATACAGGTGAAAATAAATACATATAATAATCACAGTAATTACAGGGTGCATATAAGTAATGACTATTTAATAACAAAATAGTTTTTGAGAAATTTCTTTTTGCTTCTTAATTCTACACTGTTTTGCATTATCAAAAAATTATACTGTCTGTTTTTTTTGTTTTTTTTTTTGGCTAAAATATTGAAGATATGAATATGGATAGAACTTGCTGGCTTTTAAACTATAGAATATCTGAAAGATGATCAATTTCAGCCTAATCTGGCATTCAAGATAATAGTGTACATGTAAATGTATTTAAAAGTTCATCAGCTAATTTATTACTTATTTATATATTAATTGACAGAATTTTTTTTAAAGCTAGAGAAACTAGAGCCTTGTATCACTCTCTTTCGAAGTTTGTTTTAAGTTTTGATTGGAATTTGATTAGAAAATATTTACTGTATTTATTTTATAATTTGTATAGGTTCAATATACAGTCTGTCTGCTATGAATAACATGGAAGAACACCATGACCCTAGGCTTGCTTCAGAATAGGTAAGTACACCCTGTATTACAAGCTTTGTTGTTTTCTTCCAAACAAAGTTTTTGGATATACTGGAAACAAAATGTCTATTTCTCTGCCTGTATCTTTATTATATCCAAACATACATTTGTATCTGATTATCCATTTAATATTAATATATTATATTATTTCAACATTCCAAATTCATTTGTATACATTTAGAGAAACTAATTGTATTTTTTATGATTTTATTATTAAGCATATCTTCCAAGAGTGAAATTGTCTTGGGCATAACATTATATGGTGTTACACAACACCATATAATGTTATATGAAATTAGTTTTAACTCATATCATAACTGATAACTGTTTAGGAGAATGGGGTATGCATTTGTTTGCACATGCATATGACAAATATCTTCAGTGTATGAACTTAAATTACATGTAGACTTTAATTTGTACATGTATTTTAGAAAACCTGTATTAATCAACAGAACCTTAAAATTGGAGACTCCACTGAAGTGCCACCCAGTACCTTAACATGTGACAATTTCAAATCCTATGATGAGGTTCCAAGGGGTTATAAAATGAAAGAAAAACAAAGAACAGGCCAAGAGAAAATTTGTAAGTGCTCAAAGTAATTACTCTATGTGCTAACTAATACTGGTATATATTTATTAATTATACATGTAATTGACATGAAATTTGGATGTCTTAATTTTTATTATTTTTTCTTTATCATTTCAGAAGCAATGCAGTCACTGTCAGGGAAATAAAGCCAAAATTATGTAAAAATTTGAAAAAATAAACTCAAGATTAATGCTTGAGATTGTGTTCTTTGATTTCTTATTATTAAGTGATTAAAGGACAAGAGTACTATTTAGTTAAGTTTGCAATCCAAAGAAATACAAAATAATTAAATAATAGATGTAAGTAAAAAATAAAATTAACATATGTTTAACATATGAAAAACATATGAACATAAACATGTGTTAACCATATGTTCATACAAAACATAAGCAACATATGTTAAACATATGATCAACATACACGTATGTTCATAAACATATGTAAAACATATGTTGCTCGTTTTTTATGGCGAACATATGTTTCAGAACATATGTTCAACATATGTTAAACATACGTTGCAATTTTTCCTGTGTAACTCAATTATTGTTTACTCTCTATCTTACAAAAAGCTATGTTCATTAAACCTTTCTCAGTTTGGAGGCCCGATGCTCTACCGGCCACTTCCAACTCGGTTAAGACTTGTAAGCTTTTGTTGAAATTCATGTTCATTGTTATTTACCATCGTGTAAATAAATTCGGAAACCTGATTTTACCAGTTCTTGGACTTTATATTGGAAGACCATATATAAGGAATACGGCACCTTTCTCGTTTACGCTGTATTACGGCCCCACAGCACCGCTACTTTATTACCCGCCAACATTCCTTCTTCCCCTTTTACGCTAAACAACGGATATAGTCCAGGAATTACTTTCATAACTTAGAACCAAAATCTGACTGGTTATAGATATAAAAATGTTCACAATGAAATTTGATTGCTTCACTCGATACATTCAGTAAGAGCTTATGATTTATTTATTTATTTACTTATTATTGTTTTTATGAATTGCATTTTTTAGATTTTTTTTTCAAATTTAATTATTATTATTCTTTTGGATAGTAACGAGTTTTTCCGCTCTTTTTCAGATTTTTGTCTTCAAAGTTTTAGTGGCTATTTTTTATGTTTTCATGTCGAACTCATGTCAAAACCTGAAAGCCTTTTCTCTCTCTGATTGAATTAGTTCTCTCAAATCTAATTCAGGTTAAAATTTGTTCATTTTTACATATGTTGTTGAATAAAATACTTTAAAATATCCTATAGTACTTTGCAGAGGTGATGATTAGTATAATAATACTATAAAGAAGGGTCTTGAGAAATTATCATGGTTACAATTAATTACGTGGTTTATGACATCATTACAGTTTTTAAATATTTCCCTAAACTTTTATTTCATATAAATAAAACTAAATTATATTACCTTCCATTTGATATATACCTTAATGATTTGAGTTTTAAAATGCCCAGAAATATGTGATTTTAAAATGGCATCATATATTTTGGATCACCCTGTAGTATTCATTATTAGGATAGTACTGAATTGAATCAACTTGAATATTTTCAATTGAATCCCTGTTTTGTTGTAATATTCGCCTGTTTCTGTTGATGTCGTGTACAAAGATAATAAAATACAGTGCATAGGATATGGCGCAAAATGAGCCCAGTCCCTTTATCCATTTTAACAATGTTTTGTTGATGTAGTTTTGTGAATAAATTTTTGGAAAAAGAGGAGTACTTAAATCTACAGTTGTACAGATCTCGGTATCGTTAGGAATTGTCGTCGTCCTCGCCGTCTCTTTTAACTGAATACTTGTACTCTGTCCTACATCATTCTGAAAACCGTCTGAAACTGTATAATGAAACTGACTGTCATAGCGAATTTGTATTATATATATATATATATATATATATATATATATATATATATATATATATATATATATATATATATATATATATATATATATATATATATATATATATATATTAAGAAAAGGGTATAATCAAATGTTCTTTTATCAAATAACTTTTGACTGCTTACTTAATTTACAATTCACTTGCCTAAATCATCGTATTGACTGAAAAAATCAATAATTGTTTGATTATATGATTCAATGATTAAATGATACAAACTCGTTCAGCAAATAAGTCAGCTTACTTGTCTACATTTGCTAAGTCCTAGCAAAACGCAATGAGAGAAGCCAAGTTAAAATAAACATAACCAGTTGTATAAATTTGGAATTTTTAAATCTATTTTAGGTGTCTTGAAAGAAAAAAAATGGCAGGCCAGATTTTAAAGGGGGCTTTATGAAACCAAAAAAAAAACAACTTACTTAAAAAAATTGTAAACCTCAACAAGAAAATGCTCCAAACTTAAAATTTTATTTTGGGGAGGGGGATATTCGAGTCAATGAAAGGCGGCAACTAGCCTTTTAATGAAAAGTTTTATACTTAATTTATCGAAAAAATTTACATACAGAAAAAAATGTTTTGGGAGGGGACAGGCACCTTCGGCTTTTATCCCCACCCCCGATTCTATGTGCCTGAATATTTTGTTCACCTGAGGCGAAGTCGGGTACAAGTGAAATAACTTTCTAGAACGATTTGTATCAATTTGGAAGTTCCCAATCTGTTTTAGTCAAATCATAAATTGAATCTCAGCCAATCGGAATTATTCAATTATATAATAAAAAATATTTTATAATACACTTGTAATATTACAAGACATTTTATGACACATTGTGACAATACTGACCTGATCTGGTAAAGAAGGGGCATCCATTCACCTTATCACAAAGGTCTGCCGTACAGTCACAGGAAGAGTTACACAGATGTCCATACAGAGGATATGGACACATCATGGAGCAGTTCTTGCCAACATATCCAGGACTGCAAGCTGAGTGTATTTACAAGTTATAATCATATCAGGAAATAAAAGATTTGATTAGTTGATTGTATGTTGTTTAACGTCCTATTCAAGATTTTTTTCACTCATAAAGAGACGTCACCGTATGCATGAAGGGCTTCAATTTAGATCTATACTCGGCAGTCAGGGCCATTGAGCAATGAAGGTACTTCATCGTGCCAATTCCTACCGTGACGCGGGACCTCGGTTTTTAAGGTCTCATCCGAAAGACCCGTGACTTTCACTTCTAGTGCCGGGCGCTTGGCGAAGGAACAGTCACTACCTATGTTTACGTCTTAGGTTTGACGCGACGCGGCGAACGAGAATCGAACCCGGGCCTCCCGATCACGAAGCGAGCTCCCTACTACAAGGCTACCGTGACAGGAAGGAAATAAAAGAAAATCATGACAAGATTCTTTAACAAGTGGTCACAGTGGTAGAAAAGGTAAGCATTATAATTTCAAAGAATGATACTGATCGTTTGAACGCAATTACCTTTGCATTTAAACATGTTGAACGCAAAAATCGTTTTAATGCTATAATATCAGTCAATCAATACACGTACAATCATTTGTATCAAACCTTGCAGAGGACAATGGATCAACGTATACTCATAGCTTTTTATTTCTTAATTTATGAATTATTTATCAGTGTTTCGTTTAGCTTTATAGCAGATAGAAGATCATCACTGGAAGGAAGCTCGCTTCTGTGAATGTATACAGGAGAAAAAATAAGTCGTGTTATAAAATATCGGCATTCTATAGCTAAGAACGTGATATGTCTTAACTTTTTAGAACTCGACACTCTTAAAGAAGTCTTTGGTCAGTTGCTTACAATCACATATCACATTTTCTCTTTTGTTATTTGAACTTTAAAACAATTTCTACAAACAAATAGAATGGATCTTCAAAAACCAAAGAAAAAATGGTTTCAGAAGTCATTTCCCATGTTGTGGTCTCAAGGTTTATTCCATGTATAAAGGGGTTTAGGAAACGACTTATGAAATATTGGAATTTCATACATGTTCAAATTATGAGATCAAAATTAAATACAAATGGAATTGAAACAGATCGATCGATGTCTGCATAAAGATGCTTCTGATGAGGTGGGCCTTATTACATACTACTATAAAACTATCAAAATGACACGTACTATTAAGGAGGAGAAGGACCTTGGGCTGAAAAAATACTTGTCATTCAATTTTTTTCATATTTTGTATATTTCTAATTAAGTATGTCCCACATGTCTTAAAGTAGTTATATCATTAGGTTTCTTACCTTATTCTGGAGATATTGATTGACAAATACTATGCCCTACCGTATCTAAGTGGAGTTTTAATTCACCATGTTTCCGGGCTCATTACTCTGTCCATAATGGAATTTTCAAAGCATATATAAAAATTATCAAAGTGGACATGTATCTTTTAAAATATTTCAGAGTATAACTAGGATTTAAAATTCGAAAAAGCAAGTTTTGTCTATCACACTGCATCTGGATAGGGAAAATTACGCACTTTTTAAGACAACTTAAACAATAAAAAACGTAATTTACAAAAAATTCTATCATTCAATATTTTTTAATTTATGTTGAAATGCAAATCCTTCAAATTATTGATTAACTGTAAAAATTTCGAATGATGAAGCTGACCTCATTATTTCACAGGACATCGTTAAAGAGGACATAAGCATGACCAAAACGGGTCATGTTACATTTCTCGAGTACGGGAAAAATCAACTGTGACGTCACACGTAGGCTAAATAAGCGAAATAAGATATACCTACATAAGATTTCCGTCATCAGCCATGTAAAATTAATTTTTGTTTTCCCCGTTTCTCAAAATATTTCATCATATACTGATTATGACCTGTTTTTACATAATAATACCGCCCCTGTGTTCACCGAGTATGATCTTGCTGTACTAACAGGTCGTGTATGACGTCACCGACTTGTTGGACGCGCAGTTTAGGGAAACAGAGGAGTGGATCAATCTTTTTCATAATTTGTTAATGTTTACAAGAATGTTAAAACTTTTTAATTTTTTTATATAAGATGGTAATTAAAGTTAAAAAATTGTCAGAAAATTAAAGAAGAACTGATGCTATACAAGTTTTGCACTTATATAAACGGAGACTATGACGTAGTTAAACAGAGTCATGTGATCATGTGTCCTTCATCCCCTTAATACCACGTAAACATTAGTAGTATAAGGCGCCTAGCTGGCTGGGTCAACTGAGTGCACTTTTGGGTCATGGGGGGATGGCTGGGTCAACTCAGTGCACCCCCG